TAAGTTTTGTGAATGTTCTTTTTCTGACTGTGCCCCTAAAAAAGGTTTTGTTGTGGCAATCACCTCAAAATCCACCATAAAGAACAGTGGTAGACAAAAAATACGTAGCTTTTCTCCTGTGGTTTCCTTAGATGCTTCTCTTATACCTCTGTTCCTGTTAGATCCTCATGTTCTCTGGCAGATCTCCTGTTCTTGATGTATTTGGAAAAGTTTTTATGCTTCAAAATATTTTCTTGGCCTGCTTTATTATGGTTTTATATTTAACTGGCCACAGTTTATGCTATTCCTCTTTTGGACAGAAGCAGAAAATAACAGTATTCCACAAGTGAATGCACAGACGGCATTCACAAAAGGCTCAGGTATTTGCACTGGGTGTCTAAAAATGCAACTGTGTGGTACTTTGATGTGTGTTAAAGACAAAGGAGTTTGTTGAAGGCTGGCTCGAGAAAACAGGACTTAGTTAAATGTGGACTGGAGACTGTAGGTACTAATGTTTCCATCAGCTTCCAATCTCAGTATATTCCTAGAGGGCTATCTTTTAAAGATATTTTAAAGAGAAATACAGACAGCCTCCAAACTGGATAACAGTTGCAGCAAAGTTATTAACACAAATTATTATTGCACATTATTCTAACAACTAGTACAGTGGAGCGCTATTGCACCAGGTATTGCACAAACTTAAAGTTAGTCCCTGCCCCAAATAGCAAAAAGGCTCTGCCCCCGTAGCTTACCTAGGGCACTGCTGAACAGCCATGCCCGGTGTCTATGTCAATGCTACGTTTTAGCAGTGATCCCAAAGCCATGTTCAAGCACAATCTTGCCTGCTGTCCACACTGATCCGTGGCACCATCCACACAGGATTTGGCCACTCTCACTTTAAGGTTGTTCCTGTGCCCCCGAAGTTTCTGTAAGCAAGGCAAGTATGTCTAAGTGTTCTGCTGAATCAGGACCCCACTTTATAGAAAATCTATCTGCTATTAAACATGCATTATGCTTGATCTTAGTGCTAAGATTAAGTGCCTTGTCTCCTGCTCCTTTCCCAACTAAACTCCACCTGTGGTGAGAGTCATTCATCTTGAATTGCTTCAATGCAGCGTTTAAGTATGTCATCTTGGCAACAAAGCAGTTTGCATGGTATTTCAGTGAGACGTTTAAAATCCCATTCACATTTTTTAATATACATTTCTCCCACATAAATTATCACAGCTTGGTTGGCAGGTCTTGCATGAGTAATAAGGTTGTTGGCACAAACACATACCACAGATCTATTAAGTAAAGGAGAAGCTTTTGTTTGTTTCTACGTTTATACGAGAGCTGTCAGGTTTAACTTGTACAAAATGGTTTAAGATACTGGCATTTTACTAGCAGGACACTACTAGTCTGAGATAACATATCCTCCCCAAAATGCATCAGTGGCAGTACAGATAAATCCCCACGTACTGGTTTGAAAAGTAAGCTCTTTCTGTGTGAGGTATCTATGCAAAAGGCAGCTTTCATTGCTTATATTTCATCACTTATACATGCAGGGAGACTGTAGCCGAAAACTTGCTCTTATATAAAAGAGCTGCTACAGAGAGAGAAGTGAGCTGAATGTGCTTTTTACATGTGAAAGGAATGTGTTCTCTTTCAATTAAATAATGACAGAGCCACGTTTCCAGTTTGCTTTCTCTCTCATTCATAATTTTGGGAAGTGATTGCTCAGGGTATATAACTCAGAAACCAGAATTCTGCAAATCAAGAGCTCTGCTGAACTCCACATTGTAAGGTCTGAGCAAAGTCTGTATGTAAATATCCTGCAGTGCAATTTTGCTCCATTGATGTTGTAAGAGCATGAGCTGCAGAACTTTGCCTCAGTATCTATTTTTAAAACATTTAGTGCTCTTGCAATGTAGGCCTGATCTGAAGTACTTCGCACATGGTGGGAATCTTCCACTGCCTTTATTTAGGGCTTTGAAACAAGCCTTCTGTAAACAACGAATTACAGGAATAATAATGTATTGCGAGGAAATAACTTTGGAACATCCAACCTTTAATATCTATGTGTCACCAAATTTGTGTTAGATTAGCAAAACATACCCTTTCATAACAGCTTGGGGTTACATTTGCCAAACAAATATTGTGTAGTTCTACAGTCACATTGAGTGGTTTGGATTGCTTCTCTATTACACGCTCTGTATAAAGTAATGTATTAATTATTGTTATTTGCAAATTGAACATAACCATATGTTTGACATAAACCAGGCACAAGTAAAGAAAATCATATGAAAATGTGAGAGGCAGACTTTGAAGCTTACGTGCAAATGTATTAAAATGTATCTATGCAATTTGTGAATAAATTTGCCATGATCTGAAAGAGAATTACCAGGAAACCAAGACAACTCTGAAGCTAAGGATCCCTTTAATGCACATATCTTATCTGCTGCTCGGGAGGCTGGCAGTAGTTCAGAAATGCAGAGTACAGTTATTGGATGTCTCTAAATACACCACAATCAGTTTATCAATGTAACTACGGAAATGTTTGAGAAGAGCTAGAGCAATGTGGCCACAATAAGGAACGGCATTACTGATGCTGTGTGTGTTATTCTGGGGCTTTGTGAAATCATCAGCCCAAGAATTGTTCAATCCAGGGGAAATGTTCACATTTCAGACTTTGTCATCTAATTTATAGACTTTCATTAATAAAGCTTACGTAACAGCAATTTATGAGTGTTTTTTAGTCATAATCATTTAAAAGTCTATTATTTGAAAGTGCTCCAGAGATTGTGCATTATTTAAAATTCCTGCTTGACTGCCTTCCCCAAATTCAGTCTTCCAAATCCTGATTCAACTTAGTCCTAAAAGATGAGACAACTGGAGAATCCTGTGTGTCCCAATGCTCACTCAGGAGAAGGGAGAGGAGGCTAAAAGAACTTAGATTCTTTAGCGTAGTAAAATTAAGGGGGTCTGACTGCTTTCTTAAAAATAATTGTGGCTAAATACCACTAAGAGAGAAGGGCTATTTAAGCAAAAGAACAAAATTGGCACAAGAACAGCTTAGGCTGGAAATGAATGGGTTTCCAAACATCAAAAGAATGAGATTTTAGAAAGCTTCCTAATTAGAAGAGTACATGCAAACTCCCTTAGTATTACTGTAGCATCTTGCTATAGTTAGGAATTTAATTGTGAAATCCAAGAACTTGTTCCCAACCATATATTCTATGTGTCTGTTATTTGGTAAAGAGCTCATTGTGAGAGGTTGTATTTTAATAAATGGACATCAAATATATTTTTAACTAAACCTTTTCACACATAGTATAATTACATGAAAGCACTGAATTGTGCTACACTAAGTCTTGCAAAGCCAACTTTCCCATGGGCCACATATGAAAATCTTTATGTGGCTGAGAGGCACGACATGCCACGCACCTTGGAGAACTGTGGCAAGGACTTATAGGTAGAAATGAGTCTCCAGGACATTGCAGGGCGAGGTTAGGTGGACGTGTGGCCCAGGGTTATGCCGTTAAGCCAGCCCCATCGTTCCCCAGCTTATTTTCTCCCACCGTAGGGATTCTGACCCCCCAGCAGACCTGACAGCAACGCAGACTTGCTGCCATTTAAGTGACATTGCCCTGGCCTGGCAGTTGTGCTCAAACTGCTTGCAAGCCCCATGGAATCGAATGGCACCGGTTAGCTGCGTGCTGCTGGAGCGCATTGCCGCTACCGTTCAGGTGAGCAGTACCTCACCCCCCTTTTTAAACGCTTCCCTCAGCTCTGCTTTCTCAAGACGCTCGGGTGTGCCCTGCTCTCCAGGGAGGCTCCCGCTCGCCGCACCCCGACCAGCAGGGTCCCCAGGCTGCACCCGAGGCTGGGGGGAGGCTTCGCCTCTCCAACCCCACCCGCGACAGGGCCCCCCGCGCGGATTACGGGGAAGGCTGCGGTCACAGCCCCGTTTCTCAAGAGGGAATACCCGCTCCCTCCGGGGCCTCGCTATCCGCAGGCACGCCGGAGGCCCGAGGGGCTGCCCGTGCCCGGCGGTGTTCCAGGCTGGCGTCCCCTGGGTGGAGCGGAGGCCCGATGGCCGGTCCCCGGCGGCCACAGCCCCAGGCCGGGCAGCCACCTCCGAGCGAAGGGCGAGCGGCGGGAGACACCAAACGCCGCGGAGGGCCGACCGGCCTCGCACACGCTAACCGACACCTCAGCTGACCAACCCACGCCCACAGGCGGGCGCAGGGCACCGCCTCCTTTAACTGGTGGTAGACCGAACCAATCAGGCCGCAGGATGAACGCTCAGTCCGGGCTCCTCCCTTTTACGGACAAGCAGCTAGGCCAATCAAAAGGAAAATACACCGCCCACTTCCCTTTGGACTCTCGCGAGCCTCAGGGGTTGGCCCCCGCCCGCCGCCGGGTGACTGCGCAGCCGCCATGTTGGTTGCTATGCTGCCAGTACTGCCCGTATGAGGCGGGAGGCGGCTGCTGTTCCTCCCCGCCTTTTCCCCCACAGACGCTGGCTAGCCCGCCGCCTCTCCCCTCCCCCGCTCCCCTCTGCCTCCCGGCCGGGGCTACACGCGGGGTAACTGCCGCTGCGTGCGAGCCGGCGCCGTGCCCTGTGAGGGGGAGCCCCGGCCCCCGCGCTGCTCGGCGCTGCCCTGCCTGCCTGCGCCCCGGCTTCCACCTGCCGCCGCCTCCTCCGCCCGGTCGCTGTGAGGGGAGGGGGGGCTCCGCTGCCTTCCCCCTCGGACTTCCCGGTCCCTTCCGCCCCCCAACTCTTCCCCCTCCCGCTCCCTCGGCCCCGCCGCCGCAGTACGATGCGGTTCTCGCCGCTGCGGCTAGGTGCGGGGCGGCTGCTGCGGCTGCTCTCGCTGCTCCCCGGGCTGCGGCTGGGCCGGTCGCAGCGGGGGAACTGAGGGAACCGCGCGCGGCGCGCCCGCTCCCGCGCGCGGCGCCGGTGCCGCCGCCGCCGCTGCTGCTGCTGCGCGCGCGCGTCTGCGGCGCGTGCCCGTGCGCGCGCGCGCGCGCGGGGGGTCGCGGGGCGGCAGCGGCGAGCGCAGCCCCCGCGCCTCTTCCCTCCGCCGTCCCCGCTCCATCGGGAAGGACGTGGCTGTTATATGAAGGTAAGGCGGCTGCCGGGGCGCTCGGCTCTCCGTGCTGAGGGGGAAAGGGGCGGCCGGGGGGGGATGACTGCGCGCCGCATTCCTGTTCTGTGACCCCCCCCCCCCCCCCCCCCCCCCCCCCCACACACACCGGCTGTGGGGGCCGCGCCGCCGCCGCTCCCCCCCCCCCTTCAGCCCCGCTCCCCTTCCACGCAACTTCGCGCACAGGTCGCCGCTGGCGGAGAGCGGCTCTACCGAGAGCCGTTTTGGTGGTGGTGGAGGCGGGGGGGACGCGTGTGTGGGTGCCCCTTCTGTTCTTCCCCTCCGAGAAGAAAGGCTCCGCTCTGGAGAAGGGGTTTGGGGGGAGGGGGGGGCGGGGGGGGGGGAGTCTGAAGCCGACCGCCGGCCCGCGGAGGGGGTTCGTAAACAGTCTTCGGGGGAACGAACGGCGGGGGCAGGTCGGAGGCGGTTGGGGTCTCTAAAATGTGGTAAACTCAGCTGAACGCCTGACACGGATGATTTTTTGTTTGTTTGTTTTTAATATGGTTAATATGAAAGTTTGCGTTCCTGTGCTTTCTAGGCACATGTGCACGTTGCCCTGGTTATGGGCAGGGAAAATGGGTTTGAGTGCTGGCGTTGCATTCCTCTGGTACATTTTTAGTATCTCCCTCAAGCAGAAGGCTTGTATAATCGCATGTGTCTATATGCGACAGAGGCTTTTGGTGTACCTGGTGATGGATTAACTCGCGTATACTGTTGCAGCACCAGCTGGAAGAGGAATAACGTCTTTTTCCCTTCAAAAATCTCTGAGAGCTAGTTGCTATAACTAGGTAGCTGCCAGTGTAGGTTAAATGTTCCCACCGCTTGCCTATTCAAAGAATATATGTCGTTCACATGCAAAAAATATGTGCATAAACTTTGTGCTGCTACTTACACCCTTCCAGGACTTCAATGTGGCCGAGCTGGTAGGATTTTTTTAACAGTGAAATAGAAAATAATTACGTGATTTGTGTATTACAGAAGTGCTGATGGATCTCAGCTAAAGAGTAATTGTTAGACTACAGTATGCACATACATTTTCTCACCCATGGGGCATTTCTCTTGCCTTGAGCTAAACCCTGTGTTGAACGCTAAGGGGGTTTTGTGAGTGCACATTTGCCTGCTTGGTATTGGCAAATAACTGCCCTGTAATGTTGGGAGCCACCAGTGTGTGTTCACACACATGCAGACATTTATGAGCTCATCGTATTGTAAATGTGTGTTGCAGGAAGACAAAAACGAGTTCGATTAGAATTGGTAAAACCATTGTCTTATTAGATACGTATATTGTAGGAAAGTTTTCCAGTTCATTGCCTAAACGTAAAACATTCAGTATTGTAATCTTACGGATGCCATTTTCTTGACAATGGATTTCTTGCTTCACTGACCTAAAAAGTTGTTTTTACATATTGGCATGACTCTGGCTTGCACCGTGTTGATAAAATATGATTCTGGGTGATATGCTTACAGATACATACATGTGTGTGTCTGTACGTTTTCCAGGCATGTTTATGCTTTATAAACTCAGAAATGTAACTATTGGCCTAATTTTTTAAGATAATTTTGTTGTCATTACAGTTCTGTATATTTTTATTTGTAGGGTTTTCTTGTGGTGTTTTTTTTTTTTTTTTTTAATTAGATTAAACATTGAAATATGAATTCACTTTCCTCAAAAGCAGAAATATATTAATCTTTTACCTTTTGGTATGTTTTCCTTATGTTTGCAGTTAATTTGGATTCAGGTTCACCTACTTAGGGTTTAATTTGATGTTTATTTCTTGTTCAGTAAAATTTTCCATGAAATGTGTTGTTTGTTGCCATGATTTACAATTCTGTTGTCCTGCTAATGTCCAATTTAGGTTGTACATAGCAGTATTGATTGAACACCCTTACTAAAAATACTTTCTGGGTTGGGTATACTTACACTGTAGCAGCAGGAAAGTTAAGCCTATACTGCTTTTCTGTGACTATAATTAATTTATTATTAACAGCAACATTTGTAAAACATGAATAAAAGAAAAATCCTGTAATCTCAGAAGTAATGCTAATTGCTCTGTGGCGTGGATGAGCTCTCTGTTAATGAATAGAGTTCATATACTACTATTTACGTGTCATTTCCATTAGCATATTTGGAATATATGGTACATAATTTTGGCTCTGATCCTGCAGTGACCCCTCTTTGGGCAGAGGGATCCACCTACACAAAACTTGCTGCAGGAACTGGAGCTCAAACATTCATTCTGTAGACACTAGGCCGATGTTTATACTGAGCATTTGCTGTGTGTGAATGTTTTGTATGTTTTGTTGTTAACCTTTGTCTTTGTGTAGCATGTCATATAGGCTTCTGTGTGTGCAAAGAGCTGCAGGGTTGGTGCCTAGAGTAACAACCTAATACAATAGTGTGTGACATGATTATTTTGTGAAAAAGAGGTTTCTTCTTGAAATTGCTTTCTTATTGTAATTTAGCACTGATGAAAGGTCCTGATCAGCATTTGAGGGTTCCATCTCACTCGGGTCTTGTTATCCTTGGTGGGTTATTTTATAAATGTTTGTTGAATGTACATGGAAGTTTTTGATATATGCTGACATATAAAAAGTGGAATATTGTACTCTACAAGCATGTTCTGGAGAACTGAGTGGAAGTTACAAGCTTGAATATACTGGGGGAGAAGATACTCAGGGTGGTTCACTTAATCCTGTAAGCTAACCTGTACGTGGGAAACCAAGACAGAGTGGCTTGCTCATGGCAGTTTAGACCTTTGGATGAGGTAAATGAGTTGCGTTAAGTGTCTTCTGAAAATTATGGTGAATTAAAAATTCTGTTTTAACTTCTCAGCTGATCAAAACTTAATTAAAACAAATAGTAGGCATGTGCATGGTTTGTTGTTATTAAAGTTAGTGTTAGATTATTTTTATTAAATTGATAAATAGCACATTTCTGTCATCTGTCTCCTTAGGTCTTCACACTACTGTTAGTTAGATTCTCTGATACATCATGGTTCTGTCTTGTCCCTCCCTGCCCAGCCATCCCCCCCCCAGTTTGGGTTTAAATTTGGTACAAGATCACATGAATCCCATGCCTTCGCATCCTGTTTTTGTGTCACCTCGCTTCCATTCTCACCAATTATAAAAATGGTCAAACAAGAGAATCTTTCAGCAGATGGTTGACTGTGCTTTTTTTTTTTTTTTTTTTTTTTTTTTAATGCCACACTTTCACTCTGGTGCTGTCACTTTTCATAAAATGGCCAGACAAAATTCTCTTGGGTTTTATTGTGCTCCAGAGTAAACAACTGTAAAAATGGGTTTTGTGTGCATATAATATGGGATTGTTTGTAGTGGAAAGAAATAACTGTGAAGGTGGAAGAAAAAGGGGAGAGGAGTGTGGCCTGAGCAGGAAACAAAACCAAGAGCTGAACAGTGGCCTGGTAATACAACAGCAGGTCTTTGCTGTCTGGGCCAGCTGTTCATATATGCTTGTTTGGGAACAGAGGCAGATTTTCCTTGAGGACTTGTAATCCACTGAATTAGCACAAAAATAGTTTTGTGTAGGCTTTTGAAAGCCTTTAATATTTAAAATTTTGCAATTTTATTGAAGTTTTCTCTGATATAGAATTACATATCTGCAGGTATATATTCAAAATCTCAGTTCTTATTTTGGGGAATTTACGAATTATTAGAAAACTATTGCTGTTTGTCTCTTACAAAATAAATTACTTCAAGTTTACAGCAGTTAATATATTTACAGAAGTTTTACTGATGTGTTGACATACCAGAATGAGATGTCCAGATGCAGGTTACAAGAATATGGTCTTTTTATGGTGATCTGTGTTACAGCATACTGAAGTCTGTGATGATGGTAGGCATGGTGTGCCAGTATATGATACAGAATATTACAGCTGATAGTCACATAGTTACTCAGGTAGATCAGATGAGTGTTACTAGATGAATTTTTGTTTGAAATGTGAGAATTAAACCAACTTCTCCTTTCTCAGTTTATGCACCTTCAGAAGAGACTTGGTAGGGTGATGCAATTAAGCCTCTCTTGGCACACTTTGTCTCACACTGCAATTACTTCTTGGACAAGTTATAAGGTGACTGTTGGATGATAAATGCAGTTCCATTTGCATGTTTTGTGAGATACTGCCATCTCTACAGTTACATGAGGAAGGGGGGAATAGCTAATATCCATGTAAAAATAAACAGTCTTTTAATTATGAGTATGAAGAATGCTGTGGGAAATGTTTTCACTGATTGGGATATGAAGTGCAGTTGCCACTTAAGAGTTTTCAGGCCATCGGTAAGATTTAAGATGAAAAAAACTGATATTCCACTTCCTATGGCATGTGTGTTCTTACATTGCCTTTCTGGCCATTCCTTATCTTCTTCAGGGTAACTAGCTGAGAGAATGACTGAATTATTCTGCATGACCAAAAGCCCAAATCTTCAAATGAAAATTAAATGTAGTGCTGCTAGAGATTAACATTTTTCATACTGGGATTTTTTCAATTAGAATGGTGCAGATTAGATAGGAAGGTGGTGTATTAATTTCTCTTATCAACCTGGGCTTTATACTTTAAATTAAAAATTGCTAAATATCTGGTATTAAATGCTGAAAACCTTGTTCTAACGGATGCTTTTTGGGGAGTGATGTTCCAGTTCGGAGGCCTTAGTTGCATGTAATTTTGATATTTTGTTTGCTAGTTTTAATAAACTAATCAGAAAAATTAAATCTATGGTCTTTTTTGGTGTTTCTTAGGAGTAATAATATAAATTGATTTAGTTTTATGTTTGGGTTAAACAACTTTACTTAATTCTCACTTAATGTGTCTCTAACAGGATATTAACTTTTAAGACAACTGAGTGTACTTTAGCTTTTCTTGAGTCCTTTGGTCAGTTTATTGCATTTGTATACTGACGTCTCTGCCCTACAGAAAAAAAAAACCAAACCCAAAACCAACAAACCCCCAAACAATCTTCTGCAT